GTGTGATTTACACTTGTATATTTTATTTTATTTCATTTATTCTTTTACTGATTATTATTTCTATAAAATTAATAATTTTAATAACAGAAAATATTAAAAAAATACACTTTTTGCTCTTAAACAAGCCCTTATTAGTCATTAATGTCAAACAGCAACCCCATAGCCATTGTATAACCAAATGCTGAATTTTAATGGCAGTACCAAACAGGCCCTTAATTTCTTAGGCTAATAATAAACTTTCAAAATTTTTTTCAGTTGAATTTCGTAAAAATTTTTAAGCTTTCCCTTCCCAGAATCCACAGTGAATTTGGGTATTATATCTCAATGCAGAACTTTTGATGTGGTTGTGAATTTATTTGTTTTGAACTTTATATTTCTCATATTTGTTGTGCAGTGAAACCAATTTGTGTTTATTGTCAGGTTTATTCAGTGTTTCCTCTCACCTTTCAGTCAAGTTATACAAATCTGAAAGAGAGAGTGAGGGGGTCATATTTAAGAAATGGTGCGTGAAACAGCATGAGTAGTCCTCGTGGCAGCTCCTCCTACAGAAAGATGTCCTGGACAAGGGGTAAAGATAAGTCATCTGGCTGGGCTGCCTTTGATCGTAAACAAAGACAGAAACAGGGTCTTCTACCTGAAATTAAAGAGGACCCCTTTCCACCCATATCTGGAAGTCAGACTGCACTACGTAAAGGTGAAAACTTGACAAAAAGTAATAAACTTTCAGCGAGGGCTTTCTCCTCAGTGGTTATACCAACCGTCAATTTTCCAGATTTGAGAGATAATAAGGATTTTCTTAGGCCAATACAAGATGGAAATTCTAGTGAAAAGCGTGGTCAGGAACTGGTTGAGGGAAATAATTATGATTTAGTACTGAAGAAGCTCAAGGAGCTGCATTCCTGGGCTGATAATAGCTTGATAGAAGATGTCTTATTGGCTGTGGATAATGATTTTGAAAAGGCCTTAACTTTATTGCAAGGAATGGTTTCCACAAGTGGCACTGGAGAGAAGGAAGCAAAAGATAAAGAGCAGAGTTCCACTGTTACTGGTTTTCCGTCCAAGATCAGATGTAACAAACATATCCCACTAGGAAATGTTGCCGAGCATGTTGACCAGAACTCTAAATTTTTGGAAAACAATGACAATGTCAAAGAATTGACAAATATAGATGCATCTTCTGGAAATAAGTTTTCTGATGATGACGATGCTAACATGAATCTGGTTCTCAGACAGTTGGCATCTATTCCTGTTGAGCCTGAATGGGAAGAAGATGACATTTACTTGAGCCATCGAAAGGATGCAATAAAGATGATGAGGTACATTTGCCTGGTTTTGTATTATATTTTGCATATGAATATGATGATTTCAAATGACTTTTAACTGTGTGCTGTATCAAATTAACTCATTAAGTTAGACCAAGGTTTGAAAAGCATTTTTCATCTGCATGTATTGACAACTTTTTCATCACAAAGTGGTGTGTGGTGTAGAACATTCAACATTGTGTTTGGTTTATGAGATACTTAAAATTTTTCCTTATTTAAGGATAACATAAATTTAATCATTTTCTCCAATTACCAACAGTCTATATTTAGCATTCTTATTCTTAAATTCTTTCCATTGGGCAGGTCAGCATCTCATCACTCTAGGGCAGCCACTAATGCATTTCTAAGAGGTGATCATTTATCTGCCCAACAACACTCCCTGAAGGCTAGAGAAGAATGGTTAGCTGCTCAAAAGCTTAACTCTGAGGCAGCCAGAGAAATCTTAAGCATCAGAAATAGTGAGAACAACATATGGAAGTTGGATTTACATGGCCTACATGCAGCAGAAGCAGTACAAGCCTTGCAAGATCATTTAAGAAAACTTGAGACCCATGTCTCAATAAGTCGGTCAGTGTCTCCAAAAAGAATCAGATATGAAAATGGAATCGCACATTCTCCATCAGTTGAGAAATTAAGTTGCTTGGAGAAGGACAATTTGGATAATCAACGGAAATCTTTAAGAGAGAGACCCACATCACTGCAAGTCATAACAGGTATTTTGGTTGCATTCAATGGACTTTCAACTTATTAATGTGTTTATATACACATTTGCCTCCTACATTTGCTTTTAGCTGCGTTGTGGACTTATACCTATTTTAACATGTTTGTGCCTCTGTGGCGTTTAAAGGTTTAAGTTATTCTTTTTTGTAGAAATCAACTCAAGAAAAATATATTAAAAAATATTTAAGTGGGACAAAAGGTTACATTCTTTATTTTTCAACCCTTTTTTTATGGGAAAGTACTAGCTTGTGAAGCTACTCTTGTTTATCAGAGCCTGGTTTCTATCCTGGTGCATTCATTAACCATATTGTGTCTGGTTCTTTATTTGTTCCTTGTAGACTGATTAATTTTCTTCTATATGGGTATGCTTCCTCAAAACATTAGGTTTAGGTTGGATTTCTAACTCTCTGGTTTGTGCTATGGGCGGGGATAATTAAAATATGGTACAAAGGTGTTTCAAAATAAATAAATAAATAAATAAAAATGCTGTGATACAGAGGAAACAAGACAATCAGTTATACAACTGGATAAATAAATTTGGAAACAGAATCCAACATTGCTTGAAATATAAAGTATAACAGCTAAGAAACCATAGTTTTGAATGCAAAAGTTATGCAACTAGCAATTCCTTGCATGTTTCAAGATAAAATGCAGTTGCACTGATGCTCTTTCCTTTGTCATACAGGCATAGGTAATCATAGTCGTGGACAAGCTGCACTCCCAGCTGCAGTAAAAACTTTCCTCATCGAGAACAGGTGAAGCATTTTCCCTCCCTCTCCTCCCACTCCCTCGTTGTGCAGATGTAGTAAATAGTAATTAGATACATATGCCACTGTCTTCTATAGACTGGATCATATTGAAGTCAAGTAACATGTATTGCCATTGTAAATGTTGATGATCAATATTGTCTGTTACAGATATCGGTTTGATGAGGCCAGGCCTGGGGTGATTACAGTTCGTCCCAAATTTCGCCATGGTTCAACTTCGACAAGCTGATTGCTGCAGGGACAGAAATAAGTCCTGTTGTTGTAGATTAATTTATGTCGCTCATTTGTTTATGGATTTATTTCTAGAATCACCTCTGCTGACTGCTGCTGATATTGTTTATTTTTATTCCACTTCACTTCAAATACTTTACAAACACCAATGCATGGAAAGGAATCATTTTAAATCATTAAATGAGGGTATGGCTTGTATTATATCATAACATCTATCTTAAAGCATCAGCTTGTCTCCGATATACCATTTCCTTCATGAAGAATCTTAAGGATGCCTCCGCATCTACCATGTACACTGAAGAAAATTATTTTTCTTAATTAACCTCAGAACTTTAATCTTAAACTTGGCCTACAAGTGGACGGTAGATTTGACCCATTCCTATTTACCGGCTTTTGTTAGGTTTTTATTCAAACTAGGACGTTTCCTCCAACTGATAATTACACCTAAATTCCTAAACCAATTCCTATTGCGGTTGAAAAAAAAAAAAAGATGAAGAAAAATCAGTGGATACTTGACCTTATCAGTCCAATATGAGCATAGTAATACAAAAAAATTCAAACAGATTACATCCCATGGAAAGTCTAATGCAAGCCACGTTCAAATTGCAAGAAACAGTACAGTATCAGCATGATATCTGATAAGCAAAATGATCAACGGGCGGGGGAGTCTATTTATTTTAATTCATCAGTGGTAGCAATATCAAACTTTCAGGGATGCTCCAGTTTTTACAAGATCTTCGAGTGCCTTAAAAATCTGTGTCTCTGTCAAGCCTTCCAAGCGAATACCTCTCTCAACACCCATGTCTGCAAAGAGATCAAGGATCACATAAATTAATGAAAACTAAACTGTTCAAACCTAAAGCACAATGCAAAAGAACTAGGGGATAAATAATAACTGAATCATTAAAGAAATTAATGTACCACTTGTATCCCACAATCATTATCTTGACATATGGAAACACAAAGAATGGCACAGAATAAAATGGAAAACTATAAAGGAGATAGGTAAGGTCAGGCTGCAGCAATAAGTACCATAGAAGCATGAAAAAAATGATGTCATCCTAACATATGTTCAAGCAGTCAGCTTCCTCCCCAGAACTTCTTCCATTCAGAATCCACAAGTTGATTCTTGGAATCAAATAGGATATATGTTTACAGGCTGAACACTGCCTTTGGTTGGAAAATGTACGATACATATGCAACATTATCCAAAAATAAATATAGAATTTTACCTAGTATTTTTGGTGGATAGTACCTTGAATGCCTGGTTACCTACATTATTTGCTATCCAGAAGGGGAGCAGGGAAGAAGAATTGGTTAAAGTATGATTTAAGTTTTAAGTCCAATTCATTGCCAAACTAAGCAATCAATTTTATGCAAATTAGGTGGACAATCTTCCTCTAAAATAAAAAACTTAGATCTTAAAATGTTCCTCACAAATCATGTACTACATGCTGATACAAGAGAGATATCAATTATAGCCTTTGTACCAGATACTGTCTAGCAATTGCAAATTGGGAAAACCATTGGAGTTTGGATTTTACTTGGAAACCTACTTGTCACTAACAAGTTGCCAACTCAAGATCATACAATATCTTTGCCCCAGAACCACTTTCATAATCCCCACTATTATCCTATGAAATCTGGACCATCATCAACCTAAAAGCTCCCAAAAATTGCAAAATCATACAAGAATTAATATACAGATATTAACAAACATACATGTATTGCTTAAATGGAAATAATTTAAAAAAGATCAGGCTTTCTGAAAAAAAGGGAAGGATTAAGCACTGAAAGAGAAAAAGAAACAATGCAATTTCTCAGAATGCAATTTCTCCAAAGAGAAACAAACTGCAACACATAGGTAGAAAAACTAGAATGCCAGCAATTTTTTCCTCTAGCATTTAAAAATTGAAACACTTTCATTTCAGTGTGTTTTGAATCTGCCTCCTTGAGTAATCAAAATTGAACACTCCAAGAGAAAGAGAGAGAAAAAAATGAAAAGTAGAAGTACCATATCTAGCCCATAACTGGGGCTCAATCCCACTACACTCACGGACCAGGATTGGGAATTTGGGGTTTAAAGTCTTGAGATCCTTGTAATTCCTCTCGACAAATGCTCTGTCCAATTTGAATGAAATGACACGTGAATATAACGGAAAACAGTCAAACAAATCATTAACCAGAAGAAACCCAAAAACCAAATAATTAATTTCCACCAAGCATAAGAAGAAACTAAACCTAGCAGTGGAGCTTGAAGGAGAAGTTTGGCACAGCAGTATCCTGAGCTCTTTCAAATTCTGGGATAACTGTCCTCTCCACGCCATTCTTTGTCTCACTTATCTGAGAATGTACAAGAACGGCACATTGTAAGTATATCCATATCTAATTCAATCATCCATACACCCAAAATTCCCTCAACAACAATTGTTCAAGCTCAAAAATTTTCCCAGAAAAAAAAAAAAAAGAAGCATTATATCTTGCCTTTACATGTCAAAATCGTAACCATAAGGGAAGATGAAAAAAAAAAAAAGCCCCACAAACGAAAATGCAGTATGACTCTGAGAAAGTAGATCAGCACATCAAAAATACAAAGAGAAACTGCGTTCCACAAACAACGGTTTTTAATTCTAAAAAAATAAAAAATAAAATGATACAAACTACGACGCCAACAATATTCAGATTGAGAACCAAAATTATGAAATCCCTAAATTGCTTGAATCATCCCCAAACAATTCATCTGAAAATTACAACAATATTAGGATCGAGAATCAAAATTTTGAATTCCCTAAATTGCTTGAATCTTCGCCGGACAATTCATCCGAAAATTACAGGAAATCAGAATAATCAAACAGAAAACAAGTCTAAAATGAAAATCAGAATATTAAGGAAAAATTGGGAGACAATCGCAGAAGTTTCGCATAATTTTTTAAGAAAAAGATTGAATAAATGGAAGAAGTGGAAGATATGGATGTCGAAATGAGAAACCTGATTGAAGGCAAACAGCTTCACGAATCCTCCGGTGACTGGAGCTCCTTCACTTCTTCAGTTTAATATCAGGGGACGGAAGGAAATGGCAAGAAGAAGACAGCAGAGATTTGGTTTAGGGAAAATGGGCCTTGAAGTTTGACTTTGTGGCCCATCAAATAATTACAGGCCTAACATGAAATTACCGAATCTCAGAAGAAAAAAAAAACAGAAAGAGAAGGTTGACTTTTTTTTTTTTTTTGGGTAAAAGAGAGAAGGTTGATTTACCTACTAGGATCAACTAGTCGATTTTATTTTTCTTTTTTATCGAAAAGTAATAAAACAAAATATTTGTTTTCTTTAATCATATTAATAAAGATATTTGAATTGTTGTTCATAAAAAATATATTTTTTTTAATTTTGATTACATAATAAAAAGCAACTATCTTTCATATCTTATCACACACTATTCGCATGTCATGCAATTCGAATTTATAACTTTTTATTTTCAGCGAAAAAATCATTATTGAATTACTTAGATCGTTGCTATAAAAAAATATTTGAATTATAAATAAAAGTTTGTTTTATTTGATTATTTTTATATTTTTATCAATTTATAATATTTTTTTTAATAAAGAGTTAATTATGGTATTAAGAAAAACATTTTTTATATACTGTCGAGTGATAAAATATTAATTAATAGCTAGACTAAATGAATTCTAATAATAAATGTCAACTATTATTTATTAACTTATTAGTTATAAGTTTTATCTAATCGATAAAACAATAGAGTAAAAAGTAAAACCATTATCATTCATGAAAAGAGTAAATTAAAGAATGTGTCGTTTTATAATGAAAAGTAATTAAGATTTTTAACTTAGTAAATAAAAAAATAGTGGTTATTAATCATACTTTTTTACAAAAAATTAAGAATCTCCATACTTAAGACTATTATTTTAATAAACACTAATTTTAATGAATAGTTATTAAAACAAAACACTATAAGATATTTTATGATGAGTTTAGATTAGAAGGTCAGAGGGAGAGAGAGGGAAATGAATGAGGTGGACGGGCCTCCCCTAAATTTGTATATTAACAACATGTCACGTGGCTCATAATAGCAGTAGGGTTGAAAATAAATCTCAAGAAATTTTAATCAAACTAAACGGAATGTTATTAAATTAAAATATAAAAAATACTTATTAATCATACTTTTAAAAAATTAAATAAAAATATTTTAAAATTATATTATTTTAAATAATTTTTATTGAAAAATTATAATATCTTAATTTTTAATACATGAATATAATTGTTTTAATGTTTTTTTTATAATATTTTATTATAACAACATATTTTTAAATATCTTTTTGCATAATTTTTTTTTATGAATCTAACTTATAATTCTTAATCTCAATTAAAATTATAAAATTAAAGTAAAAATTTTGTAATCTCACTAAACACAAGAATTTTTCTGTTGCAATTAAAATAAATTTCAGACTTTTATATAAAATTCATTTATTCCAAATACTCCCTAGAAACCTTTTCCTTCCTTCCTCATCTTCTTTCCTTTCCCTTTTCTAACTTTTATCCAAACATACCGTTAGTGGTAGGGTTGATAAAATATACTCCTTTCCTAATTAACTCTCTGTACAAATGGCGAGTTTCAAGCGAATGTAAGGGCGCCAAGCTGACTTCTTCTCCCTTGGCCTTTCATTCACCGTACACTCTCAGCATCTGCTTCAGCTTCTTAGGTATGGAATTTTCAGTTTTCAGTTTTCGATTCTGAGTTCTCTCACATTTTAATTTAGAGTTAGGGTTTATGGGTTTTGGGTTTTTCTTCTATTCTAAGACCTTGGAGGCTGATTTCTATGTTTCCTTTATTTAGAGTTTGATACTTGTTCTTGGATTGATGATAGTCCCTGATTCCATTTGCAGGTGAATTTGAGTCTGTTTTCGTCTCTATTTTTGAGGGATTTAGCTGAGATTGTTTGAGTGTATAATATGGATGGAAGAGGGGAAGAATACGATGAGGAGCAATTTGCTTTCACTTTGAAGAGGAAGGTTAGGTCAAGGAAACTGGAATTTGTTGGGTGGGGGTCGAAACCTCTCATTGAGTTTTTGGAATCAATTGGTGAGGACACCACCAAACAGATATCTCAATATGATGTAGCTGACGTTGTTAATAAGTATGTTCATGACAATAATCTTCTTCACCCGTCTAAGAAGAAGAGAATTGTTTGTGATGAGAAGCTGCATTCGGTTTTCGGAAAGAAGACGATTAGCAGAATCAAAATCTATGAAATGTTGGAGGCACACTATGCTGAGAATCAGGATGAATCAGATTTTGGATTTTTGTTTGGCTCTGATGAGGAAAATGGTGTTACACCGCAGAAAAGTTTGAGTTTGGAGAAAAAGAAACCCCTGATGCAAAAGGTTCCAGAAAAACCAAAAAGCTGCTTTGCTGCTATAGTTCCGGAGAATATTAAGATGGTGTATTTGAAGAAGAGTTTGGTTCAGGATCTTTTGAAACATTTTGAAAACTTTGAAGCTAAAGTAGTAGGCTCCTTTGTGAGGATCAAGTCAGACCCATATGACTACCTTCAGAAAAATTCTCACATGCTCGTGCAAGTCACAGGTAATATGTTGCTACCATTGTGCATTTAATGACGTGCTTAAAATCAGACTCTTCCATATGTGTAGAATTTTATGTTTTATATTATGAGATGAGATAAAATTAAGAGCTTATCTCTCCAGTACTTTTAAATGTTCCAAACTTTCCACTTTTGAGTGTGTAGTTTTGTTCCTGTAGGATGGGAGTCAATGCATTCTGGTTGGTAATTGAATTGGATACTTAAACTGAAGAATGCCAACTCCCTTTCCAAACAAACCTTTAACACTATGTATGTATAAAGTGCAAGGAAAATTGGTTAAAGTTTACTGGACCATCAAGGTGGTTAGCAGTGCTTTTTTTTCTTTTTTCTTTTTTTTTTAATTTTTCAGTAGAAATGCTTATAGACTTGTATCAGATAGGTCCCTTATGGACAATGGGATAACAAAACTATAAGCATGTTGTTTTGAACTTTCGGTATGGATGGGAGATAAGAGTGGAAGTTGGTTGGATGCAACTTGCCAAGAATGTCTCCAAGCTTTTGAAAGTGATCCGCAGTTTTTAGTCCCTCGCCTATGTAGATCCTGTATGCTTATTTGTAAGTATAGCATGAAGCTGCATCTTATTTTGCTCAGCCAATATTTGTTATCTATTTTAAATAGTTAATATGCCTGTACTGCTCTTTGTTGTGTAGGGCTGAAGAAGACCTCTGGAACTGATGGTATGAACACAGATATTCTTCTTCAGGTCTCTAATTGTGTAAAGGACATTGGGGTTTCCATGCTTTCAGATGATGATTTCAAACTGGTAACTATCAGATCTGCGATTTTTCTATGTTATTCTATTTAACTCTGTTTAAATGGGTTTATGACATAGTTGGAAGTTTTTTCTCAGCAAGGTGATGATAGATTCTCTGGTCAAAAAGGAAAAACTTTAGGAACCGTGATCCTTTCTTTTTTTGGCCAAGTGCTTATGTCTAAACCTAAGATTGTCCTTGGTCATTGAGATGTTAAAAGCAACTCAAAATTTTGTCAGCATCTCAGCTTTGTTGTGGTTTTTGCAGGAGGAATGTGTGGATCTGCAGCAGAGGGTAAAAAGTAGCCTGCTGAAGAGGCCAACTGTTGTAAGTTCTCTTACTATTTTGTGTAATGGACTATTTTTCCATCTCTTAGTCTTTTGTTTAAGCAAATATCTTTAGAAGAAACTGCATTTTCATTTGGGTTCAATTATCTGAAAAGCTAAAAGTGAACAAGAAAGCTTTTGTGGCAATGCTGATAGATTTGTGTGGTAAATTACCTTTGCATTTCTGTTAATGTCTCATTGTTGGTAAAATTTTAAACCAAAACAATGTGGATTGTCTCACTTACTAAACTACTGACCATGCTCATTTTTGGTCTGTGAGTTTAGTCCTGACTTGTAAGACCCTTTTATGTAGCTTAATATCTCTCAAACAGCTAATTAGCCAGTCTAGTTAGATGATATACAACGGTCCAGTTTCAATCAACCAGTTGGCTTCATCCTTGGATGATTTCTGTTCTATAGATCAGCCAAACCAAGAGTTGGATTTTTTTATGCTAAACATCTTTAACCTTATGCTTAATCTTAATGGGGCACTGATTAGACAAAAAACTGAATTCTCATGGTTTGGCACCATGTGAACAAAAAGGCTGGTAATCTGTTTTTTGTTAAAATATCTTGATACCAATATATGTTATGGAATTTCTAAACTGCATAGTGATTGGCAATTTTCTCCTAAAATTAGATGGTTTTTCTGCGCTGAGCCAACCTTTAAAACTAACTGATGCAATTTTAGTTATGGGTTTATTCTTGAATATTATTTAGCACCACTATTTTATTTAATGTTGGCTACTCTACAATCCCTTATTTTGTCTCTTTTATTTTATCTTTTACATTTCAGTTTTTTGGCCTTCTATTTTCCTTTTCAAGTTTCCAGTTACTAGTTTCATTTTTAAAACATTATAGGTGGAGCTGCAAGAGAAGGCTCAGATTCTGCATGAGGATATAATTAAGCACGTATGTACTCTGATTATAGAACATATCTATCAGTAAAGGGTGTTGCAGCTTTGTTTCTTTAAATTGGTTTTCTATTTAATGTTTGCTTCAATAGTGTGCAAAGTTTTTTACTTACCTTGGTATTGATGAATTGATCAACCTATATCGGCATATTTATTTATATATTCCATTATGCTTTTGTGTTTTTTGGTGATTAAACTTGAAACAATTGTAAGTTGTAAAATGTGTTGAAGTTGTATATATTCCACCTAAATAATTTCTTAATTATTATAAATTTGACATGGAGCTCTGAATTCTAGGCTTTTAGTTAAAATTGCCTGCAATCTATCCTCCTTGCACTTTTTTATGATATCTATCTAGAGATCTTGTGTTGATTTCTTAGAACTTATTGTGGCTTTGCTATTCTTCTGCCATTCACCAGTGGCTTCCAAGAGAAATTGCTTTGTTACAAAGACTCATAGATCGAGCTAATGAGAAGGGATGGCGCAAAGAATATCCTTTCAAGACACTCATTAGTTACTGACAGTGCCCTACTTTAATAGACAGTGCCTTTAATTTTAGTTATCATGATAGATGAAAAATATGCTTGTTTGTTGTTGCTAAGACTAGGGATATATATCACTGTCGTTTATGATATTCTTTTTATCTCCATTTCCATTCCCATATGTATATATATGCTTTATTGGTCTTATGTCTCATCATATACACAAAGAGATAACATTACTGGTGGATGGATGGCATTAATTGTTCATAAGAAGCATGAGTGATTTCTTAACTTTCCATGGCTTATACATTGCTTGAGTACCTGGAGAAGAAACAGATGCTTCAGACTCCAGAAGAACAGACGCGACTGTTGCATGAGGTCCCAATGGTTATTGCTGATGAACTAGAACCTGAAGCTGTGCCACATGATCTTCCAAATGAAAAAGATGGGGATGATGGTTCCCCAATATCAACCATCACTGGAATTTCAGATATACCTAGTGGCAATGCACTGAATGCAGCTGAAAACCAAGTATACTTAGCTGCAGTGCCTCCATGTACAGATTCTTTTGGTATGCCATTAACATAATAAAATTGCATTTGAAAGATGATTGTCTTTTTGAACTGTATGTCGTGTAGATGGTTGCATTCTTGTGACTCTGTTTAGTGTTCAGTACTCTCTTTGGTAAATTAATGATTGTCCAGCTGAATCATGGTTATAGACTTTTACTCTTTGCATCTTTCTAGTTACTTCAATCAGTGTTAATTAACCACCAAGAAACTTTGGTTTAGCTGTATTAGAAGAGTCATGTGCATAGTAACGTTTGGCATTACTGCTTCAATGGATATTTTGTAGGGTGTATAGAGTTAGATCTCCAGTCTTTTATATGTGTATTAAACTTGACAAAGTTATAGAGTTATGAAATGATACATAACTAACCTGTGAGGAAGTTACTGCACCTAGCCCTAGCACTTGTTATTGTGAAATTAGGCAACAGCCCCAAAACCCAGGCCCTTGTGACTGTGTATATGATGGTAATACTTGCCATTTATAGTGATCTGTTCTACTTCAGGTTATCAGTGTTCATTAGCCAATGGAGGGAAAGGGAATGGGAAAGCTGAGTTTGGGTGGATGATTCCATCCCCCCCAATCTCTCTTCTTCCTCTAGTCCTGTTTCCCAGTTCACATGCTTTTGAATTTTTTCCTTCATATTCTGCTGTTTTATGCTTTTGAATTGTGAAGGAATGACCATGTGATTATAGGACCCTTCCATAATGTTTCACGATACTTCAATCATTGTTCAAATTTACTCGTTTCTCTTGCTGCAGGGAGTAGCCATGATGCTGTTCAACAGCTGAAGCAACCAAGAGATATTAATATCGAGAAAAATAAAATCCAACTTTTAAACTTTCAGCAGAATAGAAAAGTGGTTTTGGAGAACGAAAAGGTGCCTGAGCCCGAGAGTATATTTCATAGACAGGTTGTAGAGAGCACCCAGCTTTTGAACGTGCAGGAGAAGAAAATGATTGTGGGGAACCGAAAGGTGTCTGAGCCAGAGAGTATATTAGATAGACAGGTTATTGAGCTTAGCGATGATGATGAAGAACACAGGGATCCAAGAGTTGTTCGGATCCATTTTGGGAATCCAAGTGGAGTTCAGATACAGGTACAAAATGATATTGAGGATCTGTTATGGCATTATGTTGATCCACAGGGAGACATACAGGGACCCTTCTCTCTTCCAGCATTGAAACGTTGGAAAGATGCTGACTTCTTCCCTGATGATTTTAAGGTTTGGAAGAAAGGTCAGAGCCCAATAGATGCTGTATTATTGACCGACCTTCTCCGTCAGATGTTTCCCTTGTAGTTGTGTTGGAAACTTTCCTCTTTCCATTCTTTTCCTTTGTTGAATTGTTGTTCTAATTTCTGAATTCTCTGTAAAGTTGGGAATTAGAATAAGTCAGCGGATAGGTTCGTTTTTTTTTTTTTTTTTCCTTAAAAATATTGTTGAACCAATGTAAGACTTTCGTAAAGTTTCCATTGTTGTTGTTATTGTCTTTATCAGCTGAACTCCACATATTATATTTAGGGTGTTATGCGAATAAAATTTTTTTATATTGTTAAATAAATATATATAATATTATGAATAAATATATATAAGAATATAATTTTTATAAATTATTAAATAAAC